TCATATTTGGCATCAACAGTTCGGATTTGGGTGCGAGGGGCGGAGCTTTGGGGACCCCACAAAAGGGGGTCGATACCACCTCCTTCAGGCCAACCACCAGTATAATCCCTGGTGCAGAAATAGGTGGCGGAATCCTCGTCCCTGAGGTTGTTCATCTGCAGCGTCACCGAGCTCTGCCCGTTGTCCCTGGCCATGCTGAACCGGCCCTTCACCGACGGCGCGTAGCCGGTCCAACCAGAATCGCTCCTGATCCCAGCGAGCCATTCCAGCCCCTTCCCGGGGCTCTGGCGCACCCACTGCATTCCGTAGTCGCCGAAGGTGAAGCCGGAGGGGCGGCAGAGGAGCCACGGGGACTGAACGGGGCAGAGATTGGGGGTCACTGGTTGAGATTTGGGTCAACAATCATGATACGGGTCAATGGTTGGGATTTGGGGTCAGTGGTTGAGATTTGGGGTCAATGGTTGGGATTTGGGGTCAATGATTGAGGTTAGGGGTCAATCGTTGAGATTTGGGGTCAATGGTTGAGATTTGAGTCAGTAGTTGGGATTTGAGAGTCAACGATCAAGTTTTGGGTCAATGATGGAGATTTTTGGTCAATTGTTTAGGTTTGGGGTCAAGGGTTGAGATTTTGGTTCAGTGGTTGAGATTTGAGATCAATGGTTGAGATTTGGGGTCAAGGGTGGACATTTGGGACAAAGAGTTGGGGTTTGGGGGCCAAAGGTGGAGAATTTGGGGCCAAACCAGCCCAAGGTCGGGAGCGACGAGCGAGAGCTGGGTGTGAAGGGGCGGAGCTTTGGGGGGAGGGTCTGATGAGGTTTGGGGACCCCACAAAGAGGGTCGATATCACCAGCATCACCACCCCAGCTAGTAGTACCAGCACATTCCTTGGCACAGAAATAGGTGGCGGAATCCTCGTCCCTGAGGTTGTTCATCTGCAGCGTCACCGAGCTCTGCCCGTTGTCCCTGGCGATGGTGAATCGACCCTTCACCGACGGCGCGTAGAGGGTGCTACCATCCTTCCAGATCCCAGCGAGCCATTCCAGCCCCTTCCCTGGGCTCTGGCGAACCGAGTTCATGTCGTGGTTGCCGAATGTGAAGCCAGAGGGGGAGCAGCGGAGCCACAGGGGCTGAACGGGGCAGAGATTGGGGGTCAATGGTTGAGATTTGGGTCAACAATCATGATACGGGTCAATGGTTGGGATTTGGGGTCAATGGTTGAGATTTGGGGTCAGTGGTTGAGATTTGGGGTCAATGGTTGGGATTTGGGGTCAATGGTTGGGATTTGGGGTCAATGGTTGGGATTTGGGGTCAGTGGTTGAGATTTGGGG